TGTCATCGTAATTTCAAAACAGTTAGCAAAAATTAAATACTGGATGCAATTTCATACTACCCAGGATGGAAAAGGCATCGGACCAGAGGAGTTTGGTCTCCGATCCGAAAATTTTTAAGTCACCAGAAAATTTACAAATGAAATAGACACAAACAAATCAGTGAAGTAAGGAGGAATGAATGGAGTAGATTGCAGTTTGACAACTTAAATATTTGGTTTAGTACTTTAATTAGTATACAAGTAAATTAGGCTATAGCCTATAGGGCATTTATGCTTCGTATCCCATTGTTGCTTATCCCATACATGCCGGAATATCTAGACATACAGGGAATGTTTAAGAAAAAATTAGGCCCTCATGATCAGTTGAGTTATTAAGCACGCAGGAAGTTGGGCGAGAAAGCAGGAATTGAAAGTTGGAAGAGCACGTTAAATGGCTCTAGAGGCTCATTCAGTCTTCGTTTCTTGTTAACTTTGTTCGTAGTGTTTTTTCCTTTCAAACTTGAAGTTTGCAGACCTGGCAGCAACAGAAATCGTCCCTTTTTCAAGGGAAGAGACTAAATGATAGCGACTGGTACTCGGTTGCAGTTAAATCATATACTAACACTAAAGAAATCAGCCCATCTATTCAATAACAAAACCTTGCTCAATCAGAAACCAGTCAGAACCGATTGGAACCCCTTTCCCAAACAGAGGAATCCCTAGTTTTCAGCAACATTACTCGTCACGATTATGATAGTGGTTCTTATCCAACGGTTGCTCGTCTGCCCAATGTACCCCTACCCCCATATTTTTTTTTTTTTTGGGGGGGGGCACATTGCCTAGCAAAGCTTTTGGGATTCATCAAATTTTCCCACCACAAGCTTCAATTTCAAGTAACACTCTATTTACTATTGATCTGCTAACCGAGTGATTTGCCCAACAAAAAAATTGTACGTGAATGCACACATACAAAGCCTGCTTGACCGACCCAAACCAAACACAGGGTCGCCAGTATCCATGCACGATTAGAAATTGCGACCAAAAATTGAGCTAGCTCATCTCGGAATTGAACATGATTAGAATCAAGAATGTACAACGTCATGCTCACGTGTACTGAACGCTTATGAAGAAAACTGCTAAATTATTTCAAGATATAATTGCAAAGTTTATTTATTGGTAGAATTCAGTTCGAGATTAAGAGAAGGCTAATGCCAATGTAAAATATTAGGTGACTCAAGCGTAGTTAAGAACTATTTAAACTTACGACAATTCGCCAAAAACTATAAGTTGAAATAAAGCAAAACAAAAAGAGCGGGAAATTTCTGACTGAATCCAATGTCATGCAATCAGAATAGTTAGGGACGTGAGCATTTTTGTGTGCAATTTGCGGTCGTGTTTTATATGATTCCATAGAAAAGCTTCACTTGGTCAATCAAATCAAATGAATCAGGGCCTCCTTATTCCAATAATATGAGGAAACAACCAGCTGAAGTTAGACGAAATCTAGCCCGAGAACATCATGACGTAGAATAGATAGACAATCAATCGACTACATGCAAGATGCCCTTTTTAATTAAAGAAATTAATCAAAACTCTCGAAACAGTTCTTAACATTGATAAATTCAATCTGAGTATAATTCATTTCACAATGCAACAGCCCGAGCCGAATTTCATGCTGCTGGAAAGCGGGGGCACAGATACAAGGGAAATAAATCAAGGCGACACGAGGATCCCACATTGTGCATCTGTGAAGCTCCACTTCGGTGTGATGTATAGTAACTGATCCAGGAAAACGATTAGCAGCCATCAAACAAGCAGATTTATGTTATGGTTGCTTTGGCCACCACAAAATGTTACAGTGTAAACAGTGGCGGCGCCAGGCCTCCAAATTTGGGGGGGGGGGGCATTTGAGGGGCAAACTCAAATTTGGGGAGGGGCAAGATAGAATTTTTGAAAAGGTCGCCCCCCCCCAGGAGATTCGCCTCCCCCTCTCAAAACGTGGCGATATTCTTAGGAATATCGCCCCCAGGGGCGAATATCCTAGGAATATCGCCTCCCAGGGGGGTGGGGCGAATACCCTAGAAATATCGCCCCTCTTTAGGACATTCGCCCCCCATATATACGATGTGGTTTATTCAAGTAATTTCGTGATACTTTCATCTTATTAGTGCCTTACACGTTTGAGAATTTAACTCTGCAAAACTTAAGCTTTTTTGTCTTTTTTTGAAACGTATTATTGGAGTATTGGCAAGTTTTACCATTCAGAGATTTACAAACTAATATTGAAACTGTAAAAAACAGTTTCATATATACGCGCATTCACTAATGAGTAATGACAACTTAAGGCCCGTTTAGACGGGCGATTTTTGCTGCGATTTTAGTTGCGACTTTCTCCATTTGGAGGATGTGAAGGAGTAGATTACTTAATGATGTTGTTATGAGATTTCATAATCTGGAAAATTTATAACTGATCTACTCCTTCGTATGCTCCAAAAGGAGAAAATCGCAACTGAAATCGCAGCAAAAATCGCCCGTGTAAATGGGCCTTTATAAGCCATACATTTTCCGATAACGACAAAACGCTTGTGTAGCCTTTAGTCGCTCTTAGTGACTAATAATTTTTTTGAGGGGGGGGGGCAAAATGGGGAATGGGGGCAAAATAAGCCCATCGATTCGAGGAAACCAAATCTTTTCGCGGAGCAGCTGTTTGGTTTTGGTAAGGCCTTGATGACCTTCACGGGCGATGTGGAGAGCACGTTGACGAAGGGCATGTGGGAGGATAAGACGGTGAGAGCGAAGAAGGAGGTCACGATCATCAGAAACACTCAGTTCGTCGCGGATATTGTAGAGAGCGTTGATGTCCTGGGAGTTGACAAGGGGACTGGGTGTCTCAAAAGTTGAGTCCCAAGAGTTGTTACGGTCACTTACGGAGGGCTTCAATAACAACTTGCAGAGTGGGGTCGGCACAGGTGGATTGTTTCACCTCGGAAACGGTCATAGCTTTTGGGGTGGTATGATTTGCTAAGAACGCAATATATTCTTCATCCTGGTCGGACGCAGTGGAAGGATGGGTTGTAGCTAGCTAGAGGGTGACGGGACAGCTAATCAGCGCATGTGGAGATGTTTTGATCCTCGTCGCCAATGTAGTATTCTTATAGTATGATAATACGGGGCACGCTCTTTGAGTGGTTATAACAATACTCCATTTAATATGAATGGAATGCTAGCTACATACATACAAGTGACGTCACATAAGTACATGACGTTAGATTATTACAATATATATGTGGCCAGAAATACTTATCTTTGATCCTTTGGGAGGTCTTCTTTAATCAGAAATATCCGATATCATTATGCATCATCTCTAGCACTCTTGGAATCAGATTACGTGGAATGAACTATTTGAATGTTTCCACTACTGTCATAATGACACATAGTGCGTTTTCAAGTGCTTTTAATTCCACGTCTATAGTTTCTAGTCTCCATGAACCGAATTCTAACAAGGATTGCAGCTGCCTTATCTTTGCACAGGCTTATTGTTGCTGACGAATGTACTCTAAGTTCCATGTGTTGACTCTCGCGTTGTCACATCTCGAATTCTGCTCAAGGCATCCGCCACTGTATTGCTCCGTCCTGGGATATGCTTAACCAAATACTGAAACTCGCGGATTTTGTCCACCCATCGCCCCAGGTGATCACTATGTTCTTTCGTTCGAGTAAGCAGCCATTTCAAAGCGATTGGTGGTCAGTGTATAAATCAAACTGGTTCCCTAACAGGTACGAATGATACGCCATAATAACTGCCAAACATTCTTTCTCCGTCGTGCAGTAGTTAATTTCTGCTTTATGTAGAGTAGTACAAAGGCAACTGGGCGCATTAGGTTAGATTTATCAGCCTGTTCCAGGTAGTAACCAACAGCGTAGTCTGATGCATCGCATTTTTGAAGTTTCAACGTCACCAAAGAGCATAATAGTTCTTTCAACAGTTCAAATCCATCCTGACTTCGCAAAGCACTTCACAAATCTCCTCCAAAATGTTCACACTCCAAGAAATGGCGCAATTCATCTTCACTCTCAGCAAAATGTGATATTCATGATAATATCAAGTTTCTCAGGTAATAATAATAATAATAATAATAATAATAAACATTTATATAGCGCACAAACCAAGACTGTTCTAGGCGCTTTACAGTAATACAAAATCCAATCTTAAAACTAGTGTTAAGAATGTTAAAACTATAGAATACATCATACACTATTTAAAAACAAGTTAAAAAGATATGTTTTAAGAAACTTCTTAAAAATGGTTAATGATTCACACATCCGAAGATGAACAGGTAAATCATTCCACAATCTTGGTCCAGCAACACAGAACGATCTGTCTCCGTATGTCTTTAGTCTAGAATAAGGAATCTGGAGCAATTCATTTCCATTTGATCGAAGAGTACGCTGCGAAGTACGACACAGCATAAGTTCCTTCAGATACGATGGAGCAAGATCATTAACAGCTTTGTAGACAAGAAGTATAATCTTGAATTGAATACGGTATTGGACAGGTAACCAATGCAATTCGATAAGAACTGGGGTGATATGCGCCGATTTCTTAGTATCAGTTAGTAAACGAGCTGCAGTATTTTGGACTCTCTGAAGCTTCTGAAGCAAATATTTGGGTACACCATATAACAGGGAGTTACAATAATCCAGTCTTGAAGTTATAAATGCATGAATAATTATTTCTAAGCAATTTCGAGGTAGATACTTCTTAATTCTTGAAATATTCCTAATATGGTAGTAAGCTGACTTGCAGATACCATTAATATGTTCGCCCAATCTGATCCACTCATCAAAAATCACCCCCAGATTTCTTGCTGAAACAGTTGGCACAATTTTTTCCTTTCCCACCATGATATAATTTAAGGGAGGCATCAGATGATAGCGTGAATGGACTAATATAAGCTCCGTTTTGCCACTATTTAGTTTCAATTTATTCAACATCAACCAGTTTCCCAATTCAAGTATACATTTCTCCATACGGATCTTAGATGATATTAAATCATCACGATCATTCGTTTTGAATGCAATGTAAAGTTGCCCATCATCAGAAAAAAAGTGAAAGCGCAGATTGTGGCGCCTAGCCACATCCGCGAGAGGGGCAGTATAGAGTGAATACAACAGAGGACCCAACACAGATCCCTGAGGTACACCACAATCAAGATCACTCAATAACGAATCAGTTCCCTCAACACGAATAAACAGTTTCCTGGATGTAAGGTATGAGGTAAGCCAATCCAACACACGACCCCTTATGCCAAAGCGTTTCGATAGTCTTGTTAATAACATTAAATGATCCACGGTGTCAAAAGCCGCCGACAGATCCAGTAGGACAAGAATAACAGAATCACCGTTATCTAGAGCTTGAAGGATATCATTTTGAACCCTCAATAGCGCTGTTTCAGTACTATGACAAGGTTTATAAGCAGACTGGAATTTCTCATGTAGATGATTTTCAGTAAGATAATCAGTTAATTGTACAGCAACTGCTTTCTCAATAGATTTCGAGACAAATTTCAGATTTGATATTGGACGAAAACTGCAGAATTCTTCATAGGAAAGATTGTACTTTTTTAATAGCGGTTGAACAACAGCAATCTTCAAAGAGTCAGGCATTGTACCACTTTCCAAGGAGAGGTTGATTATTCTAACTACAACGGGTAAGATGTCTTTAAAACAGTGATTTAGCATGACCACCGGGAGTGGATCCAGAGAACAGGATTTAGTTGCGATACGTTGGATTAAATGGAGCACTTCGTCTTTTCCAACCTCCCTGAAGGTGTGAAATTCATAAGGACATGAATCAGCATCAGGTATAGGATTTTCTATGTTTTTACTCAAGAGTTCATCTTCGATATCACCTCGTATTTTAACAATTTTCTGAGTGAAAAAATCACTAAATGAGTTGGCAAGTGACATTGGGTCAGGAGAAGATGGATAGCGAATAATCGTATTTGTATGCAGCAAATTGCTTACAGTCTTGAAAAGGGTTTTTTGATCAGATGATCCATTATTAATTAAGTCGGTATAGTAAGCCGATTTTGAGGAGTCGATAAGTTTATTTACAGCATAACATTGTTGTTTATAGCGATTCCAATCAGCATTCGTCTTTGTTTTATGCCATTTTCTCTCAAGTTGTCTCCGAATTCGTTTTTTATCATTGATTTCGTTAGTATACCAGGGTGCCTTAGGGCGCAATGTAATTTCCCGGGATTTAATCGGTGCATGGTTATCTAAGATAGTATGAAGACAATCATACTCATTCACCAATGATACCAAATCCATAGTCGTAAAATTCTTAAGAAGAAAAGAATTTAGTACATCCGTTTTGAATTTATGAATATTAACCGCCCGCAAATTACGAAGAAGCAAATGTTTCTTCACAAACTTCGGTTTCCTAATCAATAGTTGTAAATGCACAACTGAATGATCAGAAATCAGAGGATCGAGGATGTTGTAATGGTTAACAATGTTTTCTTCAGATCGCGTTATAATTAAATCCAGTGTGTGACCACTTGCATGTGTAGATCCAGAAATGTACTGCTTCAAATCAAAGGAAGCGAAAAGATCCACGAACCGTTTGGTAAGAGGGTCATTAGGATTGTCCAGATGAAAATTAAAATCTCCAGCTATCAAGAGTTGCCCGGGTGATACAATAATTCCTTCCAATAAGGATGAGAACTCTTCAAAGAATAGAGTAGATGTCAATGAGTTAGCCGATGAAGGAGGCGGCCGATATACAACAATAATTCTAATATGTAGAAAGTTCAAAAAAGAACTGTCAAGGTATTCAAATGACCTAAATACCTCCTGTACATTACGCTTAATATTAAGACTTTCCTTGAATAAGAGACCAACGCCCCCACCGATTGATCCATGTCTCGGTGTATGCAGAAAACTATAACCTGTTGGGCATAGATCCCCAATAATCAAATCGTTCCCACTTGGAGGGAGCCAAGTTTCCGTCAAAGCAAGAATATCAGTATCTTTATCCACAACAAAATCTTTAATAATCATAGGTAGTGGTCTAACGCCAGTATGGTCAATAATATGACCCAGGAATCTTACAGAACGTTTAGCAAATTGGCACTTTCATTGGCACTCAAGCAATTTCCGGATTCCTTCCAAATGCTTATCAAAAGTATACGTAGCGTGAAAGGAGGTAACATCATCAAGGTAGGCCATGATATCCACAGTATCCAATACTTGGACCATATATCCTCAACAACAGAATGAAAGGTTGCCCCTGCAAGCCCATAGGGCATGCTGCAATACTTATGTAGTCCATAATCCACATGGCGATATAAACGAAGTTTTCTCTTTGTCTTCTTCGGCCACTTCAACCTGATGATACTCGGATACCATATCTATCGATGTGAAATAAAATCCTCGATCCTCCGGCTAACCGATCGAGTGTTTATGATAGATTAGTTAATGGGTAACTTTTTAACATTGTTGTCTCGTTTAACTTCCGATAATCAACTTCCTAACTAAAACTAGTGGGCTCGCCGACAGAACATGATTTTTCTATTATACCATCCTTTAGCATATTTTTCAGATAATTTTTTACCTCTTCTTGGTAAGCGAATGAAATTCGGCGTAATGGTTTCTTGACAGGCACAGTTCCTGGTTTCAGGTGTATGCCATGTTTTGTCTCGCCTGTTTTTGTACAAAACATCTGAATAGGAAGGGAGGGGGGGGGAGTTTCTCAAGTTGTTTCCTTTCATGTATCTTTACAGTAGATCATTCTGGCATAAATGCACCCCAATCTCGTGCAAAATTTCAATATTCTCAGTCTGAATGGAAGAAACAACTGGATGTTGGTCATTCTGAATCTGGTAGTCATAACTTGTGTCGGAAATCTCTTGAAAATCTGATAGTGTCCCAATAAATAATGTAACATTTAAAAGTTCTGTTTTACTGCCTTAACAAAAAACACCATCTTTACATGGTTGTACAACAGTTTTTTCTCGTAACATCCCATCAGGTGTCTTACAGGGCTCAATCCCGGCTGATTCTATCCTTAGGGTTAATAGTACGCATTGAAATCACTATTTTGGTGTCTGGCGTGAGGTTATACATACAGTACATTTTGCAATTACTGTGCATGAATTATTTTCCTTTACGATTCAAACTTGTTGGGTATCTGTTAAATTAAGGGAATAGCTATGTCGTCTAGCCAAAGTTTATTATCTGCACCTATACATCTACATTCAATTACGTCGGTAAAAATAAAAAAATTATCACACCAACTACTATGATACATTAAGTAAAATACAAATATGCAAAACGAAATTTAAATAGCTTAGGTTTAGAGATAAAAATGTTATTACTTCAAGTATTACTTGAGTTCAACATTAAAAGATCTAAGGTTTCAGATAGAACAATTTCTTTAGGAAGACTATTCCAGTCTCTCAATGTTCTAGGACAGAAAGAATATTTAGAAACGTCTTTCGTAATTCGAGGTATGCTATACTTAAATTTATGGCTGTTTCGTGTCCTTGTTTCTTGGCTTGGTATCACTACATCATCAGTATTCATGTTCAGTAGTCCATTGCTTAATTTATACATGCAGCATAGTTAAACCAGTAGTTTTCCTTCTTAATTCCAAAGTGTTCCATTTCAACTCTTTTATCATTTCTGCATGAAACACTTGCTGTTCGTTTGTAATTTCTTAAACAGAATCGTGCCACTGATCTCCGAACTTTTTCAACAATCCAACGTCTTTCTTGAATGTATAATAAGGGTCCCGTGCAGCAGATGCATATTCCAGCTTTGGTCTGACTAGACTTTACTTTTGCAGGCAACTTTCTTAACTTCTCTTGGACAGTCCCACAAGTTCCGCCTAATGACATTCAATACAACATTATCGCATTTCGGCTTTCGTGTAGTATTTGATACGTGGAAAGACCATTTCATCTTGCTGTCTTAAACAGTGGTATGCATGGTTTTCGACCTCTTCTAACATTTTTACATAATTACATCATAAAAATGAAGAGACCATGCTGAACAAGGGAAAAAGCTAGTATAGTAGATCGTGATACAGTATATGACACGGTTATACAGTCCCTCGTGGAAAAAATGAAGCTACAAGTGTCTACTTTGGAAACTGCATGCATGGAATCAAGACAGACCTTTTCTATTGCCCACCCTGTATGATCGCAAGTACTGTCGTTGCTTTGGTTGGTGAAGAATTTGCTGCAGCAACAGATCATAACGGAAACTGAGCAAATTTCGACCTTGTGAACTGGATCGGAAATTAATTCAACAATGGGTCGGAATTTCTAACGATTGCTTAATACGGCCACATATTGTAGTGGACACGTACCACTGGCTCTTGTTTAAAGAAATGTTTTCTCAAGCGCTATTGCTTTCTGGCATTTGGCAAGGCTTTTGTCTCACGAAACAATATTAAATCGATCTGATTCGAAAGTCCAAACACTTTGTATGAACTCGATCTTCACTAATTAACATTATGTTTGTTATTATCGACCAAAGCTTGCAAAGCCATTTATGTATAGTAACTCCAGTATGGTAACGAGTACAGGACAACTTACGAGTCGAGTCGATGCATGGCTCCACTAAAGTCGAGTCAAGTCAATGGCTCCATTGAAGTCGAAGTCGAGTCAAGTCAATGGCTCCACACTGAAGTCGAGTAGAGACAAATCGATGGTCTACACTGAAGTCGAGTTGAAAGGTTCCACTGAAGTCAAGTCGAGTCAATATGACTCCTTCAGAGAGAGTCAATAACTAAACTTGAGCTGAGTCAGGAAATTTGATCCACCGCACACTTTCCGTAATGGTTCAGTACCCTGGCTTGCAATCTGTGAAATTGGCAACCAACTTCAGCTTTTAATTCATTTAGTCAATTAATAACAATACCTGGACAGCTGTATAGGTTTTACTAATATTAAGTTCTACTCAATATTATTTACGACTACGTGTGATGTGGACCAATTTTGCCGTAATTCTTCCAAAACTGAGGTAATTAAAAGTGCATGAAATAGCGTTTCACAGACCCTCATGATAAATAGAAAACTGTGGCGCCAGCGTCGTTTCCAAAAAACGGAAATATAGCATGAAGAGTTTGTAAATGGAGATTATCGAGTGCAAATTTATATACGTTTCTTTGAGCTAACCATGCCAGGGATAGCTGTGAAAAATGCAACTATAGGTCCCTCCCTGGTAGGAGTCCAACCTGTGGTCCTACGATCCGCTGCAGCGCTCTAACTAACTGAGCTACAGAGTCCAGTTGTCGAGCGCTTTAACCAACCAAGCCCAGAGTCCAGTTGTATACCAGGGACCTAAAGTTGCATTTTTCGCAGCTGTTCCTTGTTAGGTGCCCAATTTAATAAATGTTTTAAAATTTCCACTCGATAATTTTTTATATATAGGCATTAGGCATATGCATACCGCATGCGTGTCAGGGACTCAGGGATTCTGTGCAAATTCCTGATAAAGTTTCGAAGTTCATCAGTGTCACAAGACTCATTGTTCTTCACATGCATGTGCGCGCGCAATACAATTACAACAATTTTGATAGCTGCATGAGTCATAGAAATAGTAGATATTATTTCCATGGCATGAGTTCATTCGAGTAATTTACGGCGGAAATCAGCAAGTCGAGTCCGAGTCGAGTCGGCTGTTGATTTTTCGTATTGTACTCGAGTCGAGTCGCTGAAAATAGAGACTCGAGTCGACTCGAGCCCGAATCAACTAGTGAGTCGTTACAACACTGAATTACTCTCTGCTCGTTTGAAATCGATTTGTAGGTTTTGGCAAGCGTTTCGAGCACAGCTAGACATTAAAAGATTTTTATTCATACCTGATAGTACAGTATACATTACTCATCAGTACGGCATATGCAGTAATTTGAATTTTTTCCTCCCAATATCCATTTGACCATACCTCATCAAAATATTTCTCGACATAGCTTTTCCGAACAGTTTATCTCCAAAATATGGCGGGCGCTCGCTTCACTGTGGTTTTATTCGTTTGGCTGACGTGCACAGTCCATATTATTCGCCTAATTCAGACCAGTGGGTACGACAAGGTCCGTGGTTTTCACAATATTAACCACCGACGCCTAGTATTTTAATTATTAAGAATCATTGTTTAGATTTTAACTCCATATTATGTTAAACATAAATCCGGGACATGTATGTGCCTATGTGCATGTTGAAGGAATCCATATTACAGTGGGGGTGTTGTTTTGGCTGATAAGTGCACGCATGGACGTCACATTGCATGCTATTTTTTTCAGAGAAATAACTTTTTTTTTAAACAATCTTTTGTGAGGAAGCCTTATCATCAAAGTTGGTTTTCACGAGGGTCCTCAAATAAGAAGGAAATAATTATTTACATAAAATACTGACTATAATTATTGCTATCTACTCCAAACAAAATACAGCATGCAACAAGATAATGAAAAAAAAATAATTAATAATTAATTAGAAATCCTAAAAAAGTTTAAAAAGTTAATTAAATGGTCAATTAAGTCCACACTTAAAACACTAAGATAACAAGTTATTCATTACATACTGAGACATATTTGTTTTTAAAAGCTAAAAAGTTACTAGAATCTTTAACAAATGGCGGAAGATTATTCCATTCATTAAAAAACATATAATGCGATGTTTGTTGTTCCCAATTGGTTCTACAAAGGGGGAATCTTACTAATTGTTTATTTCTTGTACCATGACAGTGTAAATCACTTCCTTTAATTTCTTCCATATTAAAGTCGACATTAAAATTCTCATTCATGACTTATATGTATGTATAAGCTACAACATTCAAACTTTGTTTGAGATCATAACAATTGTGCACAGAGACACGTTTTCACTGTAGTCTGACACACTTGACTGTAATTTATAATTACATGTAAATGAGCTGGCATACGTACTTCCGTGTGTGCGTTCTAAATAGAGACTCTTTGTTGTGGCACTTATAATCAGCACCATATTGATGCCTTTTATGGTACTAAGAGAATAGCTGAGGCACACGTTTGCTTTTGAAAA